GCTGCTGCAAAATTCCAAAAAGTTTAAATGCGTTCAGGTGTACCAAAAGTCTCATTATGGACCGATCTCCCTCAAATTTTGCACGTAAATGCACATAACCACGAAGACCGTTTTTACACCGATCCACTGTTCTAGCATGTTTCTCAAATTTTAAAATGAATTTCAAAAATTTTAAAATTCATTTTAAAATTTGAAAAAAATCATGGAATTCTGGATCGGTGTAAAAACGATCTTCATGGACATGCGCATTTACGTACAAATTTGAGAGATCGGTCTATAATAAGACTTTTGGTACACCTGAACGCATTTAAACTTTGGAATTTGCAGCAGCCATAACTCAGACCGGATGTTGCGCTAAACGGTTTTCACGCCAGCACAATTCTTCTATTACAAAACGTCATAAACCGAAACAAAATGTGTTTGAGTGCGCGAAAGTGTAAGTGCATGTGCACGAATTTGGTACCATATATACCCACTTAACCATACTATATGGTTAAGTGCGAGCGTATGGTAAGTGTGAATACCATACAAACGCGTCATATGGTGATGGACTTTCAAAGGCTCCTCTTAACACCTGCCCAATTTAACTTCCCCAGGTATACACTTTTTGAATAGAGAAAACATTTTTGAATGTAAATGTAATTTTTTGGAAAGAGATCGTTTCACGCAGTGCGAGAAAACAAATTAAATCTGAAGGCACCCAGAGTCAGCTATGCGCCTTCGCTGAGTACTTTGTACACTGCTACCTCGATGACGGTCGTCCAGCTACACGATAAGGGATGGTTAAGGTATGGTTATGGTGTTTTCTGCTCAAAGCCTCTAATAACTCGAGAAACGTTAAATGGGCGCGGTAAAGGATGGCGTTAATTGGTGGCGATGGGGGCTTCGGTGTACTCGTGTAAGTAATCACATGTGACAAGTGGTACGCTGTGTGTGTATCTGTGTATGCTCAATAGAAAGGATGCGCAGAGTCAGAACGCGGACTTACATCGAGCATCTGCGACATACATCGGAGCGAGAAATAGGCGTACCAAGTCCCAATTGGCTGGGCCTCGTTGTAAGTCGCTCTTCGCTCGATGTGTCGGTGGGCGTCGACGAAAACCGTAACGAAGATGGGCGTACCTTGTAACGGGTCTGAGCGACGTCCAGGTACTTACAAACTTCGCGTTTCCGCGATTCTGATTGGTGGGCAGCATTCTGAGTTAGATCGAGGCTGCCGACCGCCAATAGAAAAATTCAGAACCACGTGATCGTTTCTCTATACTTTGAGCTTACGGCGACGGTGATAGAGATAATACGTTACATTAGTCGCCGTGCCACGACTTGTCAAGAGTTATTATGCACCGCTTATGTTATGGGAATTATGGACTGATAGCCTCTAAAATTTACCGTCAACAGTTCCGATTCAGCAGTTGCTCAAATAGGCATTGAAAAAATGACGACCACACAACTGAGACAAGTCACAACTAGTTATTTTCTCTTAACTGGTTGGCTAAAATTAAAAGCAATGAACTTTTTCCAAATGTCATACGTTTTGCGTCGTTGACGAATGGATTATTAGAAAAAACTGGCAAAACAGCAAAATCAAGAAAGGTCTGTTTCGGATTTTTTCCAATTTGTGAAGCTTTTGAAATGTTTAAAAATTATATATTGAGAGAAAACGATGAGGAAAAATTCCTGAACGTGATTTTCTGTTAAGCGTTAGCCAAAAAACTCTTACCTGTGTACAAGTGTCCTCGATGGTGGGAATATAGGATTCGCAAAAGGTCTTTTAACGAACCGAAGCGCCACCGACGACTTGCCCACTTCTCTGTTCGGGCATGGCCACGCCCAGTATTTAGCGTGTCCGATGTGCTCGGGCTTCGGCCTTGGGATCGTGGTGGGGCTTAATCGTGAAATGCAATATGCCGGAACGACGATGGCAGCTTGTGGCTCGTTGGCCGCCGACGGAGACGCGAGTGAATTCTACTTCAACTTCGTATCCTGGAGTCTGTGCCGCTAGGAAGGCGCCCGCTTGGATCTCCGATTCAGTCGGTAGTAGGAGATGCTGCAACAAAGCCGTTAATCAAACTTTTGGCGGCTTCTTACTCGTACAGTCGTACTAAAAGAAGCAGTACTTTCGCTAGCGCATCTGTAATGGAGAGTAATGGCTGAGTTCGAAGTCGGGATTGGTTTATAGCAACTAGTACAGTACACTACAAACTTTTATTGGTCAAATCGAACACAAGGAGCAAGATATCGTAACAGAATAAATAATAAAGAAAAGAGTTATAACCGGTATATCTCGTTTAATTTATCTGCTTCGCCCACGGTCCCGAATACAAGTGTCGCGTTCCACCTTTGGTTTTCCATGCGATTCCAATTTGGCAGGCACACCAGCTGACACCAGTCCACGGCATACGATGCTGTTCAGGCACCCATGGCGTGGGTGTCTGCCTGCGGAGAAAGGGCATGACAGCCCGTGATGTCCGTAGCCATCCACAGGTCTACGACATTTACAGCATTGGTGTGGCTCACAGATTTTCGCGCCCAAGCGATGTCCGATGCTGATCTTCAGGGTGTCGTCGTCGGGCAAGTTTCCGATATGGGCAGACGGCAGCGCGTTCAGCCAAATGCCGGCCTCAGGTTCAGAGCGCTAGCGGGAACTGACATCGGTACGACACGTGCAGATCAACATCGCGGCAGCATGGTTGACGCTTATTGTCCCCAATTGCAAAGTACTTGGGGAAAAGACTTCAACGGATGCACCAGTTGGTATTGGTTGCGCTTACGGGATTATAAGGCTTGGGTTTTTATTTGAACAGCCAGAGGAACGCACTGTTGATGATGGATATACGCGGAAGTGGAGCACTTAACCGCTTCCACAAATAGGATTTCAGTACTGTCTTTGTTTACTCGATGCATTTTCAATTAACTTTTGACGGTAATCCTGGGCAGCCTGGCTGGAATGTGCTGAATGGACTGAGGGGCACACGGCCGCAGCGTACTTGCCGGACTTTCGACATGCTAGCGATAACAGTGTTATGTGAAAAGCTCTAACATGACTGCTTGCAGAATTCCAGTACAGCGATACGCAACAAATTGATTAATAAACTCATGCTATTAGGGATTCAAAATAACATAACCATGCCATAGTTGTGTCATCTCCAATCCCTAAATGCGAATGAAGTCTATTGTACATCCAAGACCATTCATGAAGTAGTGGTTTACAGAGCAGTAAGACTGGAGCGCAAAATTGGATGGTATTTCAACCGCCAAAAATATAATTCTCTGATTATGCGTTCCGGCTTTTCCGCGGGTCTGGTAAGCTTCGTGGGAACATCTCCGCTTGCTTTACTGATTTTCAAGCGGCGTAAGTAATGTTAGACTACTGTATAATCCTTCGGTCATATCCAGTACAGTTTAACTGGAATATTACTCGTCGACCATTTGCAGCTAATCTTACGTAGCCGGTTCATCAAAATCGAGTTTCGAATAAACTAGAAAAGTGCACTCGCTTCTGGCGGGCACTGCATGGTCGAAGCGCAGCAGGAATACATTGTAAAAAATTTATATTTAGACTGTTGCAGGTACTGGTACTTTTGCAGTTATCGTATTTAGCACTATTTACAGTAATTTATTTCGTAGAGAGCAGCAGGAAATTACAGCAGTAGTAAAATGGATGTTACAAAGTATAAAAGAATATATAACCGGTAAAACCGCGCGGGCAAATGAACATTTTCCTGTTCTTAGAACAGCCTAATTTCGCCAGCCTAAAACTTTAAGAAAAGTAAACCGTTACATAGCACAAAATTCGTGTGCAAGCAAACAAATTTCATTATGGCTGCGTGCACTGGTACACACGGGCGTTGGCTGGGTGCACGGGTGATCTTTTGGGGTCCCGCACGGGTGTTGGCCGTGGGCACGGGATCCTGCACGGGTGCTGGCTAAAAAAAATTAATAAAATATGTTAAGAATTCCATAGTATTTCCAAGCCATTTTCTGGATTCTATGTGATCAACAAAAGATTGCTTTAATGATGAAGACCATCGAGCGCGGAGCGATTTGCGTTGTTTTATTGTTCAACAACATTTGACGCAACCGCGAGAAACCGAAACTCGCAGCAACTGTTGACTGCGCAGATTAAACGAGTATTAAGTTATACGCGGCAGGAATATTAATTATTCGTATGAATAACCTGACGGAAATGAATGCCTTTGCTTAAATGTAAGCCCAGATTCACAATTTATACTCCAGCCTTCACCGTTTCCATTTGCCGTTCAAAAAAATCGTTTGGAAGCCTTTCTCGTCATTCAGTAATTAAAACATCAGATTATAACTGCCAGCACCGTTATCGTTTTGCGACATTCTTGCTTTGCGAAGTGTGAATTTACATATTATTTGCAAAATTTAAAGAAATCCAGCCCATATTGCAACTTTTTGTGCACATTTTTGCGTTTGAACAACTTTTCTGAGTTTGTTTTTCTCATGATTTCCCATCGGGAGGTTGCGCGCCAAATGGTTTTCACGCCTATGTAAACAAATCATTTTCCTACAAAATATCATAAATACGGGAACGTGTTTGACAGTCGGGGGGTGCAAGACTGCGAATGTTCTCGCTCGAGCACATAAAATGGCACATAAAGTCAAACTCGATCCATTAACATGCTAATAAAAAACTGTAATGTTGTTTTGAACATTTTTTATTTTTGGTTTGTTTTTTGGTTTGATTTTGGTTCGGTTTTTGGTTTGGTTTTTATTTTGGTTTTTGGTTTTATGAGATACAGTACTCGTAAAAGTTACCCAACCTAGGAATCGAACTAAGTACATACCATCTGAAAGCCTATTTCAATATTCTTTTGAATCAGCGAATAATATTGCCAATATCGTATATCCAGAGTGGTAAACCATGTTACATAAACTTCTTAGATCGTACTTTGCTCCACACGGCAATGTACACATAACATACTTAGTTGCGAAAGGCGATCCATCGATAAAAATTCTGCTGTAGTGAAGCAGTTATATCAGTCTTTGCAATCGTGATAACGAAATTGTATATAACAGCTTTGGAACTGAAAACCCGTTTGCCGTTTTAAAATTTTTCAGTTTGCCAGTGTTCATCCAAAAAGAAAGCCGCGAAAATGGAAATACTGTTGTTCGCAGCTCTAACTACCTTTTTCATCGCCGACCGCATTAATGGTGAGTTATTAGACAAAATGCAAAATGTCTGAAAGCAGATAAAAAAACAGATAGCTTATGAATCAATTTTTCTCGCACTGTGAGCTCAAATATCGCAGCAGCCGGAAGCATCAAAAAACCTCTATTGTTCAAAATACCGAGATCGGTAAATTTCCAAACTATATAAATTTTAATCAGTTCCCAGATTGCAGTTCTTTCACAGGTGTGATATTCTTAGCTATAGTAATGCTTTTAAATTCTCCGTGTATCGTTTGCACAGTAGTGAAGTACACATTGTACACATCCTATAAATTGTAAAATTTGCTGGCATTTGAATTTGAATACGCTGCAAAAGCTATGCTCCCACTAAAAACAATATATTGGAATACTGCAGGTTTATGAAGTAGTAGAAAACCGCAAACACTCAAAGTATCAGATAGCTATAATTATTTCTTCATCAGCTAGCGGAGCCACCGTATCGTGCTATCATTGCGACAGTCATGCCGGCATGGCATGTGGACTGGCGGCCGGGTGGAACATTGCCGATCTGGAGAACAGCGTCAAGCCGTGCCCGGATGGATTCTGCTACACTTACCAAAGCGTAATGTTAACGCCCCAAACTAGCTCATTAATACTTTCGTCAGCGATTGAAAAGTGTCTTATAGCTCCGTGTTTGCAGAGCGATGTATTTGATACCAAAAGTAAGCAGACACTGGCACTGATAAAATGCAACAGCATATCGAAAACAAGCTCGATACCGTTGCTTAGAATTTGAAGTAAAACGGGGATGTGGCCGGCTACCGTGTTACGAGTTGCCCTACGAAGGTAACGTGTCGGCACTTTGTGATGTGGACAGTAGCGGCCATCGAAAGGAAAAAAACGTTCCTCTCCCGTCCGGACCGCCATTCAATCAACGGTATAACTTCGTTAGTGAGCTACGGAACCGGACGTGGCAGACCGGACGCCTGCAGTACTGCGATACCGACCGTTGTAACAAGGATCCCACGCACTTTGCGGTGGATGCTGAGCGTAAGCTGGAGAGTTTGTTTTTTCGTTGCTAATCACTACTTCGCGAGCGTTTATCGTGTGCTAGATCTGTTCTTAATTAAGTCTTTTTGGTAATAAGTTAATTTCGCATATGTTAATTGCAGTATCCAATGCGACGAGCAAAACTTATTACTGTGTTAATTGCCGAGGTCCGGTGAATGAATCATGCGGCATTCTCGGCGCAAGTGAGGAAAGGGTTCCATCCGACGAATATCAGTGCCCATCCGGGTACTGTTTTATTTATGTTTTTGTAAGTTCAGTAGGCATCTATTCCAGCAGAACAGTTACCAACCAGCTCAAGTTCCCACAAAACGTTTTCCTTAATTTGTGGATTTTCCGAGGTATTATTCGATCAGAACCTAAGTGTGCGATGATTTGCAGGCGGAGAGCGACCGAAGTGTACCAAAAGTTTGGCGTGGCTGTGGACCGGTTTCTTGCAAATATATTCCTGGCTCATCGGACTCGATCGGCCTGTGTGATGAAGCTGACAAGTTGGAACCGGTGGATACCAGCAACGGCGACCCTTTCAGCAAGATCCGCACTTTTTCGGCTCGATATGGACCCACTGGCCAGATGCGAGCCGGCACAGTGCAGTACTGCAAAACAGGGACGCGATGCAATTATCAGTCGGTTCGCAGTTTTCCCTTGGTCAGCCTGTACCCGAATCGTTCACCAGTACGTCCCAGCTATTCAGCCGAACTTATACGCCACTACAAAGAACATGCCTTTCGTAAATAATTGCTGTTTTCCAGACGGTGCAGGAAGTCATGGATCAGCTGAAGTCACCAAAAGGCCCGATACACAGCAATCCTGGAACGGGAGATAGTCCGGTTAAACAGCTGTTTCGCATAATGGATGTTAACGGTGATGGTGTACTGGACGAAACGGAATTTAGCAAGAGCTTGAGTCGGTTGTCCTGAAACCTAAACGAAACACTTTTCGGAAATTTATAAGTTTGTCTGGCTATTTCAACTGAGAGCAAGTCGAAGTGCTTACATTAAAGAACCTGTAATTAAAGGTACGCTACATTTCGTGTCTACCAGCCAAAATAAACAAAAGTATTATAATATGCTCTTATTTTGAATGGGTGGTTTTGGCAGTTTTTGTGCGCTGACCAGATTTCTCAGACAGAAGGCCGGTTTCGGCTTTTTTCCGCAAAAGTCAACTTACGCACTGCGAAAAAAATTATTGGTGAAGTCCTATCTATTTCAATGTGGGCACAAATCATGAATAAATGGCTGTTTTAGCCGGCTATACCGGCCCGAAGAGCTCCAGATACCGTTCTATTCGTTAAAAGATCGTTGAATAGCCTGCACGTTTCAAGAAAAATGTGAAACAAGTTGTGTATTTGCGCGGCGATAAATGGGTGAGCTATACCAATATCGGAACGACGAATCAATTAATCCACATAATCTTGATAGCAGGACAGGCACTGCATGCGCGCGCTCACTTGTAATTTGTAAGCCGGCTTATACCGTTTGTTTGACCTGGATTATTTTACAGCTTCGCTTTAATATTATATATATACAAAGCTAACTGAGCCGTTTCTTCGGCCAACATCTCCTCCTTCACAGTTTGACGCTAATTTTCGCACGATAGCTTAAAAAACGTCTAAAATCACGTAGTTTGACTCAACGACTTTCGTTTCTCGATCTTTTCTTCCCCTAATTTATGAGACTCGTTCAAAACGAATTTCCCTGATTGGCGGATCATTAGAAATTAATTGAAGATTGGCGGAAATGCGTAACTTTCGAATCTAAACCGCTGACACATGGCATATGTACAAACTGATTCATATGCAAAACTGAGCCGTTTGTTCGGCCAACGTCTCCTTCTACACCGTCGCCACTTCTGTAGGAGTATAGGAGACACACTCACTACACAACGCGCTCGAAACGAATCGCTGATTGGCTTATTGTTAGAAATTAAAAGAGGATTGGCGGAAACGCGAAAATTTTCGAACGAAAACTGCTGACTAACGGCATGCGGTACAACGACACTTATGATTTTAAAATTAAATATTTTTTTTTAAAATTACGTATGCTATGTTTTTAAAATTACTATTATTAATATAAAGAGCTAACTTCATAGTTTTTCTTCATTTTCCTCCTATCCCTTCGGCGCTAATTCTTCCACGATAGCTTAAAAAACGCTTAGATTATGTTATTTGTCCTTACGACTTTTGTTTTTCGATCTTCTCGTCACTTAGTTACAAAGCATGACCAAAACGAATTTCGCTGATTGGCTTATAATAAGGTAAATAACAGCTGATTGGCGAAAATGTGTAACCTTTCGAGCGATGCTAACACGTAGTATAATATCAGGTGAGCGGCATCTCATTTAATTGACGAAAAGAAGAAAAGGATAACTGTACCTTAACGGGGAAAGGTACATAGAAAGACTAACATAAATACTTATTAAAAAGAAGGGACTACGATGAGCACAATAAATGTTCCTCTAATGCAAAAATTTCCGACTGGAAGATATAACTTCCGATTGTATTTTTGCCGGTGAGACAGACCATGGGGGAGAAATTTTGCCGGTCAGAAAAAAGTACAGACATTTGCGCCCGTTAGCCCAGATGGGTAGGGATTTTCGACGGTCAGAGAGAAGTACAGGGATTTTCGCCGGTTAAACAGAAATACAGGGATTTTTGCCGACCAGATAGGGATTTTCGCCGGTCAGATAGAGGTACAGGAATTTTCGCCGGTCAGATAGAAGTACAGGGATTTTCGCCGGTCAGATAGAAGAACAAAAATTTTCGCCCGTTAGCCCAGATGGGTAGGGATTTTCGCCGGTCAGAGAGAAGTACAGGGATTTTCGCCGGTTAAATAGAAATACAGGGATTTTTGCCGACCAGATAGGGATTTTCGCCGGTCAGATAGAGGTACAGGGATTTTCGCCGGTCAGATAGAAGTACAGGGATTTTCGCCGGTTAAATAGAAATACAGGGATTTTTGCCGACCAGATAGGGATTTTCGCCGGTCAGATAGAGGTACAGAAATTTTCGCCGGTCAGATAGAGGTACAGGGATTTTCGCTGGCCAGATAGAAATACAGACATTTTTGCCGGCCAGATAGAAGTACCGGAAATGTTGCCAGTCAGATAGAAGTACAGAGATTTTCGCCTGTTAACCAGATGGGTAGGGATTTTTGCCGGTCAAAGAGAAGTACAGGGATTTTCGCCGGTTAAATTGAAATACAGGGATTTTTGCCGGCCAGATAGAAGTACGGGGATTGTTGCCAGTCAGATAGAAGTACAGAGATTTCGCCTGTTAGACCAGATGGGTAGGGATTTTTGCCGGTCAGAGAGAAGTACAGGGATTTTCGCCGGTTAAATAGAAATACAGGGATTTTTGCCGACCAGATAGGGATTTTCGCCGGTCAGATAGAGGTACAGAAATTTTCGCCGGTCAGATAGAGGTACAGGGATTTTCGCTGGCCAGATAGAAATACAGACATTTTTGCCGGCCAGATAGAAGTACCGGAAATGTTGCCAGTCAGATAGAAGTACAGAGATTTTCGCCTGTTAACCAGATGGGTAGGGATTTTTGCCGGTCAAAGAGAAGTACAGGGATTTTCGCCGGTTAAATTGAAATACAGGGATTTTTGCCGGCCAGATAGAAGTACGGGGATTGTTGCCAGTCAGATAGAAGTACAGAGATTTCGCCTGTTAGACCAGATGGGTAGGGATTTTTGCCGGTCAGAGAGAAGTACAGGGATTTTCGCCGGTTAAATTGAAATACAGGGATTTCTGCCGACCAGATAGAAGTATAGGGATTTTCGCCGGTCAGATAAAGGTACAGGGATTTTTGCCGACCAGATAGAAGTACAGGGATTTCGCCGGTTAAGTAGAAATACAGGGATTTTTGCCGACCATATAGAGGTACAGACATTTTCGCCGGTCAGATAGAAGTACACGGATTCAGTACTTGATGTTTAGTAGTTGAAGTAGTTGATTTCAGGTAAACCGCTCACACAATATTCGAAATTCAGTCATACATTTTCCCAACCGAGGCTTAAGTTATGTTAAGCGCAAAATGAAATTCATATTGAATGTGTTACTGACATGTTCTAAACTAAATTTTCTAGAATATTTATGGTTGTTTCTTTACATTTATAGCTCCGTTTATTATATTTACAGTAAGATATTAGCGTAATTCAATTGTTCATTTACACAACATGCTCCTTATTCCTTATTGCGTAACAAAAGATCACTAACGCTAAGTGCAATCTTGCTTTACGCCTTGCGACGTGGTTGTATCATAACGGGAAAACACCAACACTTTCGACCTTCTACCGAAATAACTAACTGACTTAGCTGAATTCTGCAGCATTGAGTACTTAATGACGACAGTTACAAATTCAAAACAAACCGCATTTCCGATCCAGTTAATTCCGTTTCCTAAATCTTTGTACAACTACCACATTACTTTCTTCGATTCTAAAAATTCTCAACCGAGGCCGGAGGCCGAGGTTGAGCTTGTAATAACAATTATAACCGCAAACATGGGGTGCGTTGTTTACTCAGTTCTTACAATCGTCTTTATTACGGGTATTACAAAAGGTAAGTCATAAATAAATTTACAAAACGTGGCATTTTAATATTAGATCAATTTAGATGTAAGGATGATTGAATCTGTTAATCAATGTAAAGCATGTCGTACATCATTCTTAGTGAAAGGCCGCAACAATCTTTTGCCGGATTTACTTAATATTCGTGTATTAACACTTACGCGACGCATCCATATTCCTTGCAGTTTATTATGCCTTTGTCGCTCATCTACGCAGTTCTGAAAATTTGCTGACTATAAAAATTAATTGTATATGGAATTAAGAAAACGCAAGCGGTATAATAATGGACATTGCGCCAAAACGCAAAGATTTTCCCAGACGATAACGTTCTGGTTGCAGTGCGAAATGGGTGGCCAAATACTAACCTATTAGATCCTTGAATACGAGAGTGCACTTGCAAACATCGTTAAAATTATCTGTTCTCACAATAAACGGTACTACACTCTGTACTCTATACAGTGCAACTTATCGGTCGCTTTCCAAATTAAATGTTGTAATCAAACAGTCAATGTCCAGAATAATGCCTTTGCACCTAAACTTCTTCAAACAGGAACTGAAGCGACGATTTCGTGTTACCATTGCAACAGTCACGCCGGCATGGCGTGCGGGTTAACGGCCGGGTGGAATGTTTCCGATTTGGAAAAAGATGTGAAACCCTGCCCGGATGGATTCTGTTACAAATACGAAAAGGTACGCAGAATATTAAGATGAACTGCTCAGCATGGATCAACCAATAATCGCTGCTATGCTTTGCAGAGCGAGACATTTGCAGGAAAGGGTAATTACATACACATATAGAACGAATTTATTACAAAACAGTGCTTTTGGTTTTAATTATGACGTAGCTGCTGACAAAGAATTGTAAATTCTACTCGTACGATTTAGCATTCGGAGTGGAGCGCGGTTGTGGTCGAGTATCGTGCTACGCGCTTCCCTATCAAGGAAATATTTCGGAATTATGCGAGGTGGGCGCGGATAACACCCGGAAAGGCAAGAATGTTCCCACTGGACCGCCGTTTAATCAGCAGTATACCTTTATCAATGAGCATCACACTCAGACCGGACGACTGCAATACTGCGATAGCGACCGGTGTAACAGTCAGCCCACACATTTCGCGGTGGATACGGAACGTAAGCACTTTTTTCGGTACGACGTCGTACTGCTTATCCCTTGAGGCTTTGTCTAGAAATACTTCAGATATTTCAATGAATTGCAGTCGAAGCCGAGGCTCGCGCACCCTACTACTGTGTTGCGTGCAAAGGTCCGGTGAATGGCTCGTGTGGTGTTTTGGGCGCCAGTGAGGAAGCGATGCCCACTGATCCTTATCCATGTCATTACGGCTATTGCTTTACTTACGTTTGGGTAAGTTTAACCTTCCACCGATTCCCCTGATAATAAAACTGAAGGCAATGAACCAGTACACATTTTTTAAAATATTTTTATGATGATTTTTTTATGCCTGAATACCGTTAACATGGCTTTTGGCGCACCACAATGCATCAAAATGTTTGCTGCTGGTGGTTCATCCCTTGTTAAACACAGGAATTTATGGAGGTTGTTTTCTTCAGGCTGAAGGCAATAAAAATGTGCCGACGGTATGGCGTGGTTGTGGACCCTTGGCATGCAAGCATGTCCCCGGTGCAGTGGGATCGATCGGCCTATGTGATGACGCCGATAAGCTGCAACCGGTCGACACCAGCAATGGGGATCCTTTTAACAAGATCCGCTCCTTCTCGGCTCGCCAAGAGCCCACCTGGAAACTGCGAGCCGGCTCGGTGCAGTACTGCAAAGCCGGCAATCTGTGCAATTACCAGTCGGTTCGCAGTTTCCCCTTGAAGAACTTGTATCAGCATCGCACGCCAGTAAGTCTATGATTTTTCTGAGAAAAGATGCGCTGTTTAACATATCCACAAAGTGGCGTGAATCAGATAATACGATGTTTTGAAATTTGGGCAACCTACATGTATGTGATAGCCATGGTTGCAGACAGTGCAAGAAGTGTTGAATAACCTGATGCTGCCGGACGGCTTACCTTTCGGAAACACCGAACCATCAAGAACCGAAGCTACGCAGATGTTTCACACAATGGATAAGAACGGCGACGGGGTTTTGGAGGAGGCGGAATTCAGCAGCGGCGTCCGCTGTACACTCGGCTGAGACAGCTAATTACGGGCGTTTGCTACTTTTTGTAATTGTTCTTTCGTAGACTGCCACGCAACAGGCCTTGTCTGGCAAAATTTTTCTAGAGTTTCATGTGAAATTGCATTAGTAAATCTAGAGCATGCTCATATTAATGCGGATTTGTTTTCGGCGAAACAATTTGCCAAAGTGAAGAAATTAGATTGATCCGATATTGATTCTCGGAATTTCTAGCTAGATCGGTAGATAATCTGGCCTTGTGCAGAATGCAGTGCAGAATCTAGTATAAAAACTATTAACTAAATGAGTGCTTCACAAACGTTTTTTGTCCTGAAGCCTTTTCTACAAGCAAATGTAAAGCATAGAAAAGGCTCTGGTGGCTTAACAAGCATCTGCTTTTCTGTAATGCATTTTCGACAGTACCGCGCCATATCGCGACAAATCGCGATGGAAATTACGATTGTGTGTGATCAACTGATAACATTCAGTCACCCATGTTTCACCGATGCAGAGCCATTCGATCTTTTCTTCTCCATACGGTATAGCTGTCAGCCTGCCACTGATTTAATTTAACTGGCATGCAGTCGATGGTTGGGGATTTCTAGTTTCGCGAATATCTCTTCGGCAGAACTTTGGATACTATCCATATTATATAGATCCACAAAAAAACATGAGCATGAAGTGGAGAGTAATTGCTTCTATACCATTTCTATACATGACCTTCGTCTTTAAAGGTATGTATCATAGTTTCAGAATTCTAAACCGATCTTACAAAAACTGTACATGTACATATCTGTATCTGTACATTTTCCCGCATAAGCAATAGGGCAAAGTCGCAAACGAATAAACAACAGGCATGTTATAACGATGCGAATGTCTAGCTAATAGCTATACGGCTTCAATGGCCGGTTTTTCGATGATTTATTCCTGGCCAGGGCTACGGGAAAGGCCATCGTCGCGTGACCGACTCGCGTGCAATAATAAACGTATAGAATATGTTTTGCTGCAGCGCGCGGATATGTTTCTTCTTATTCATGCATCTCCTGCAAGAGTTTGGTGAATGAATCGTGTGGCGCTTTACCACAGGCCACAGAAGGTGAACACATGGACCCAGTGTTCACCGTCGGGAACTCTACCGCACTGCTTCACTTACGTTTGGGTAAGTACGGAATACAGAGTAGTGAGAGTACGATGTACAGACTCTGTTCCAAACACTGAAACGGACTGTGTCACAGATAAAAAGCGGCAATATTAGACCAATCAGAAATTGCTTTACCTCTGCGCCCGGACGAGCGAAGCCGGTATTATTGTACCGGCAATTTTAACAGTCACAATTACTTGCGCTGCATTGTCCTAACAGCCAAAAGCAGAACTGTTGCGAACTTTAATGCCAAAACCGACGTACACTTCAGTCGAATAAGCATAGGAATGATTTCTTAACCGGAAGCTACTGTCGCGTCTCACTACGCAACAGCACATGCAGGCGCTGTGTCTGCTAGTTTTGAGTTTCATAACAAGCTAAGTGCACATTTGCGAGAGATTTGCGCTATAGTGAGCCGGCAGTACCGGTAGCACGTCAATTACTTGAACGTCGTTTCGCTTCCCGACAATTTGCTGACCGATATTTTGTTGATCCGCAAATGATGGTCAGCAAGTTTTTGGTAGCACGATAGTGGCCAACATATTGTCGTGGCGCCGGCGATATCGGCATTTCCAGTGTTTAGGTTTCTTAACCAAACGGCTGGACCGACGGGCTGGTAGCTAATCAAAACCAGTGCTACATTCCGTTTTATTTGCGAACCAAAACCCCAGCGTGTGCTCTTCCAGGCTGAACCTCCTGGCATGCCAGTGGTGTGGCGGGGATGCGGTGGCAGCATTCCGTGCCGATTGGTCCCTGGTGCTTCGGGTTCGCTGGCTCTGTGCGACGAAAACGATCGACTGGCGCCCGTTTCCGGCGGGCTACACAATCAGTTTCAGCCATACCACGAATGGATTCGATCCGGGGATGAGCGGTCAGCCACGCTCCTCAGCTGCAACGCAAGCCAGAAATGCAATTTCCAGCCAGTTGGCGATTTCCCCTTGAAATTCGTCCGATATTTCCCAACAAAGGTAGGAAGTGACCTTCTCCAAAGGAATTAACGCAAACGTAGAATTTTTCGCACATGCCGGTAACTGACTATTTGGCGATAATTTGTTCATTCTGATCAATGCGCACAACGGTTTTATAGAGAACATTAAACAAGCTTTTAACGTCTTAGACATGATGCATGCTTTTTGTATTCACTTAATTTTTGCTGCTGATTTTAGACTGTCCAGGAATACGTAAACATGTTGCTACCAGCGCGACAATAATTCACTATTCCCAGCGACGGTATGCTGAAAACTAACAGCTGTCGTGATTCGTGAAACCCTGGCCAGCCGAATCGCCTCATCATTCTATGACTGCCTTCAGAACCGATTGGATACAACCGTTACTTCCACGTCCACTCCAATTTTTTTTAGATTGTCTCTACAATAAATCGTAATGTCTTTTTCTGCTTTGATAGACCGTTACCTGACGTCTGATTGCTTTTATTGCTTTTCTAAATAGTCCTGCCAATAAACAGTCATGAGTACAGTAAAACGCCAGAAAAGACAAAAGCCGCAGTGTACGGTTACGGCCGCAAAGGCAGTACTGTATGTAATATATGGCAGCATGTATGCGTATTCGTGCAATCGTTGTGATGCAAGGGTTTTCATACGGTATGAGCGACTTCTGCGAACGCACCCAAAATTCTGTGCGTTGCGACGTACTGCAGCTGTTGCAACGACGTAACGCACGCAAATACTGTAAATGCATAACAAGCATTTCATTGTGCGGAATTATATTCCACAATAAGAAAATAACTTCTAAAAGTCTATCGCTGCCAGGAGCAATCAAATAATTTATTCCGACGGTAATTAGGAAAGTGACAGCGCCATCAATAACGCGGCTGTTCAACTAGAGTAGAGAAACATAAGAAACATTGATGCATGCGACTCTTCATTGTGTTGAACCAGAGTAGAGAAACTTTAATAAAATTAATGGCAATTTCTTGCCAGAGAAAGCTGATACACCGCTGTACTGTAGACAAAAGTAATTAAGTAGTATCTGTAAGTATTCAGCTGAGCAATAAATAAGTATCCGCCTTTAAGCGTTCTCTGGACGGAACTGCTTGAATTTTATTTTACAGTCCGAATTTTGTATGCTTTGAGTTATTTCTGCAGTTGACTGGATATGAACTCCATTAAACTTGCTGAGAGCGGTTATTGGAAACTTTTAAGCGAAGACATCATTTGTTGCATACTAGAAGTCCTCGAAGATAAATTGCTCATCATGAAATTACGATCTGTTCAATATATTTCGCTTTCTGTGCTCCTGATGGCATGTATCGATGGAGCTTTCTGCTACGACTATTCAGGATTCGAAGGTAAGTGTTAATTTTGTGCAGTTTTATGCCAAGAACTGGCGGTTAACGAGAATTGTGAGAAAACATCCGTACCATTCTATGGAACTGTTTCTGATAGTACGCATGGAGCACTACTGTGACCGGATACTCTACTTATCGTGTCCCGACAGCGACGATGCTGCAGGGCGAGCGGGAAGATTGCACTACTGGATTATTCCGTTGCAGAACTGCTCGGTCAGCGTGCAGACCGTCTGTACGGCACCGCATGCCATTTATTTCAACATACCGTAAGTAACGCAGAGCGGTAGAAGCATTGCTTCTCTAATCTAACCTAATGCTGGTGATTCATGCGCATTGGACGGGTCCGCACTGCGCACTGTCCATTGATTTATTTATTAAATTTATAAATAATGGACCGACTGGCCGTTTCTTTTTTTGTCTGTATTTTAACATGTATTGTACAGAGGTAGTTAACACGTATAATTAACGTAGTTTTAATTATAATAGATCTTCAGTATTAACGCTATGCGCTTATTTGTTTGGTATAAAGTACAAATACGACCGCATTTTATTCTTCCTTTTTTTTAAACTAGACGCTCGGATTTAGCCACGGAGGATTCCCTGGAAGTTTATGAGAACGGGGAGTTGGACAGCCATGGCAGCCTTATTAAGCGTATTCCGGGCGGCTCCAGTCCGAGTAACCCTGAGCCCAAATCAGTAGCACAACTCTTGACATCTGTCAGCAACAAACAACGCCTTGCCTTCAACATGTTCATTAAACCGAAAACTTCGCACAACTACTCGCATGAAGTGGTCATCGATTATACCATTGTGAAGGGTATGAAATGTTAATGCTACTCACCCATGTATAGTTGCAGGTGAAAACCATTAAAGCCTACGTACCATTTTGGTAAAGAAAATAAATTCGGTTTTTTCGTCGAAAGGAAGAAAAACTTACGATAAACGGAACAGACAAAACGGAGCGGTATTGGTAATAGCGTTAAGCGGACTTCACAGATTTCGATAACTTTACTGGAGAGTGCAGAAATTCTCCAGACCTGGTAATCAAAGTGTAATTTGTGAAATGCTGCAGGTGCGGCAGGACCGAGGGAGACCTACTGCCGTGCCTTGAACGGTTACATCCACAGTGACATCATCTGTGTGGACAGCAGCGATGACCGACTGAACTGCCCGCGAGCATATGATCACACCATCGACATCTCCAATCGCGCTGACGGCCAGCAGACGTGTAATATTCATTCGGTGGTTCCAGAATCAGTCTCCTTACCTTTCCCGCAACTAATCCGTAAATATTAGCATCTTCATACAGTTACCGCATAAAATGATAACATAGCGACATTTTGTGTAGAACGCCGTCGTACTTTGGATAATGTGATAATACAGTAGTTACAACGATTTGCTTTCGACATTACAGCGGCCAGACTTCCAGCAGTAACAAGCTGCATCCAGTGTTTAAGTTTGATTACGGAACAGTGCGGTCTGCATGGCTCGGCCGCTGGACAAGTGCAGCGCGAAGCTTGCAGCTCGGGATACTGCTATACATATGTTAAGGTACATATGTATGCGCATTATCAATAACACCCGAAAGCATACTTGATTTTTCTCATATTTGCTTCGCTTTAAGAGTACGTTTTCAGACATTGCTCGAACGTGTTTTAACAGAATGAAGTTTACAGAAATGTTTACAAAAATGCTTTTAAAATAAAAGCATAGTTTGTCGTTAAAAATTACTTTTCATTATTCTGTGCAGTTCATCAGCTTGTCTAATGATGTTTATCCTTACAGGCCGGTTCCATACCGCTCGTTATGCGCGGCTGTGGCGGCGTCCTCTGCAGCTTGATTCCGGGTGCGGGTGGTTCCACTGTCCCGTGTGACGAGCACGGTCGGTTGGTGCCGGTGAACACCAGTGCCGGCCGGGAGTTCAACCAGATGCGATTCTTCTATTCGTCCGAGCAGGCATCGCAGAGCGGCTCGGTGCAGTACTGCAACAACGGACCAAACTGCAATTCCGGACCCGTTCCCGGTTAAACGCAAAAAAATAGTACAATAATACTGCTTTTATTGCGTGGCGCGCACTCGGAAATTTGTTTCAGGGGCAAAAGTGTTTACAGACGTAGTTTAATATATGAGTACGTCAGGAAAATTATGCTTATAAAACTGAAAAGCAATGGCATGTTTTCGTTGCGAGGTTTCACACTGTATTTTGGGTACTTGGTACAATTTGAACCACAGGTGCAGTTGTTACTCGCAGAACGTGATAAACCAGTGTTATCAGCTTGCTGTAAAGTTGCTGAAAATCAGGATCTTTCAGATTGATTCTGTGACGTTTTAAGGACCCATGCGACAAAAAGAAATAATTCAATAAACTATGCGATAAAAAAGGGGATAAACAAAACGAAAACCTAGCTATTAAGGCTGCCCAACAAATATCGCTGGATGTTCTGCCAATATTACATAAAATTGGATTCAATTACCTCAGAACATCCTAAGAAACCTAAGAAAATCCAAGGCCTAAGAAAATCTAATGCTTAATGAGGTTTCTTTTTACTACACTAATTACTCTGTCTTGACTGGCTTGTGCTGATAAATAGAGGCCTAAGAATAACTTAAGAAAATTAAAAATACGAGCATAGCATACGTAGTAGCATTAAGTGATATTGATTAAAATTAAAGCGATGTTTTAGTGTACTGGCATAAATTTGCAAAGGCTGCATAGCTGTCAGGTAGAAAATGCAGTTAAAATCCAATTACAGACCTTAATACTGTCAGCACCGCCAATCCACTCACAGTAATACTGCAAAACAAAAAAGCCTGAGAGGCGACTAAACAGGAAATGCTACAGTCGCATGCTATTGCACTTTCACTGGGGAAATTTAATTTCACTCGCTCAAGAACGCCGGTAGACATCGGTAGACAAAGTGAATAATAATATTATGTAATCGTCTGTATAAGCAATAAACAGACGCGTCTATAACTATTGTTTAGTTGAAGCTGCTTGCATTCATCTCCGCGCAATAAATTCTAAAACGTTCCTCCCATTTTTGCGATGGCTTGGATGTGGATCGCGTTGTTCTTGCTGGGTACCGCTGATTCAGGTTTGGCAATGCCCGTAATTTAAATAAATAAATAAGTTTTGACAACCTTAAAATTTATTAAATTTCACGAAATTAGAAAAATAACCGTGGTTAATTCAAAAAAATTTGCGGAATACAGTATATAGTATATACCTTGTTGCAAAAACGTGACAAGCCTTTACTTAATATACGTATACGTAGTACAAGAAGTATTACTACTAGATTACGCGAAGCAAAAATTTGTTCGTGTAGTCGTTTAATTTTCGAAGTTTAATCACGCAAATACGAGCGCAACGGCGTCTTCTTTTTGAATAATTTAAAAAAAACATCATAAATTGCCTTTTAGAAGTCGAATTTCAGATTAAAATTATTTGTTGGACAGTGAATGGCCAACTTAACAAAAAGTTATTCTTTCATTCAAGCTTACTTTTTGCAATCAGTTCGCTCAGTGATATACTGTGTGAGACTAATTCACTGCTCTGCAGTTATCCTGTTTATTGTGAATAAAAAACGTTCTACAGGGCTGGCTGATGTCATTTCGTGCTATAACTGCAATGGCACGGTGGAGCAAGCCGGCGCAGCTGGAACCGCTTGTGGCTGGTACAAAGGATGGACGCCGTCCAACCTAGACAAGCGGACCGGCATCGTCTGTCCGGAGGGAGTTTGCTTCACTCTTATGATGGTAACCCAACACCATTACGTTTTTTGCTTGCTCTTTCACAAATTTACGCGTCTTATTTACTCCCATGTCTTATTCTTAGGGCGGCACTGGTCAAGGTACGAGTACGAACTCGAGAAAAAATGACGAAAATACCAAGTTCGGCAGACTGCCATGCATCTAACAGCTACCCAAACCGCTTCTTTGTTATACATCGGTGGCAGTCTTACTCCTTTAAATATGAATTACAATTACGGGAACACCGTCTACGCACATATTGACAGAGGAATGCTTAATATGCATTACTGTTACTTATCAACAACGATTTTAAAGGCTGGGGTTATGTAGTGGGGACCATATATCGCGGCTGTGGCTTGGTAACCTGCGATAAGCTGCCGCGTGGCTGGGAGAAGCAGGAAGTGTGTGATAGCACTGCGAACAAAGTCAAAACGCCGTCCGTGAATGAAAATGAGAAGTTCAACGACATCCGCGTATTTCTAGCCACCTTGCCCGGCAACGTGAATGTCAGCAGTCTGCAGTACTGCGATAAAGACTGGTGCGGTACGGGCGGCGAACTGATTGCCCAACGCTTCACCACAGCGTTAGAAGCTGCCTCTGCGCCACCGGCTGACACGACGACACCAGCGCCACTCGCTCCTGTCGTGATACCGGTGGTGGTACCGCCACTGGCTACGAAATCTGTCAACAACGGAACTGCCGCGCGATATCAGTCAACCAATCAGCCGGCGAATAACGGAGCGGTGGCGGTGACCGTTGTTACGAGCGGCATGTCAGGTTCGTTACTTCGCGGTGTACAATGTCGAAAAAGGAAGTAGAAAACCAAAAATTGGTTCGAGTTTCAAGAATTTATTTTTTAAAGTCATAAAATCACTAATGCGCTTAAGCAAATACTCGCAGACTCAATACTAGTTCGAACAGAGAAGCGCTTCGTTGCGCAGAATGTGTTAAAACGAAGAACCTTTGTACTTTTATGTTCCTCGGTTTTTAACTTGTATGCTGGAATTTAGGGACGTCATTAGTCAGGCATATTTTATTAAGATCCTGGTTTCCGCTAAGTCGTAGTGTACAACGAGAACTTGCAGACACCATTTGCCCCTATCTACGTAACTGTAGCTGTGAACAGCTAAAAAAACCCCAGTAAAACATTTTGTAATAACTAAACAAAAATAATGTATTTGTATTACAGTGCCCAGCATTCCGTCAGTAAACAGCTGCATTCAATGTTTGAGTTTGGTTACGGAAGAATGTGGTCTGCAAAGCCCGGGCGATGAACAAGCACAACGGGTGGCATGCAATGCCGGATACTGCTTTACTTACGTGAAGGTACGAAAAACAATAAATTAAAACGGTAAAATACATTTAGTACAGGTGAAATTTTCAAGAATGCTAATCAAATCTTCTTCATATATTTTGATAAGCTAGCGCAAAAACTATCACTTAGCTTTCCGGTAGAAATTTCAATCGTTTTGAAAACTCAACACTGGCCGTACACTATAGATAACTTGGGTACTACCTGAAGAATTTTTTTGTTTTCTGATCCGTCAATAGAGCGCGGCCGGACGCTCGAACATTTGCAGGGCAGCGTAATTATATTCTACGATGCTGTTTTAAATGCAAACTGCGAGCTTTTTCCCACTATTTTCAGTTGCGTATTTGTTTGATTCATTTGTCAATCTTACAGACCGAAGCCGGGTCTATACCGTTCGTCATGCGCGGCTGTGGTGGCGTCCTGTGCAACTTGATTCCTGGTTTCGGCGGCTCCAGCGTCCCTTGTGATGACCACAGCCGGTTGATACCATTGAACACCACAGCTGGCCGGCTGTTCAACGAAATGCGCTTCTTTTACACGCCCAAGCTGGCAGCACAGAGCGGAGCGGTACAGTACTGCAACAACGGGCCAAACTGCAATGCCGGGCCTATTCCCGTTTAGAAGCAAAAACACTGCCGTTAGTTGGATAACATAACTGAATTGTTTTCTGCGCCATAAAAAACGAACCGTTCCAGTTGCTTGCTGTAACGCCGAAAACGTTTCTTGCGTGAAAAAATAAAAGTAGTGGTGTACTCTTATTCAGGTGACTCAGGAATATGATTGCCGTATTGAAAGCTTAACGCAGGAGCTATAATCATGTTGACACTTTCTATCCCATCGTTTAGGTACAGTAGAAACTGGAAACCGTGTAGACTTAAAACGCTTCCACAAATATCCGATTTCAACAAGTAATCCGGGGCGTCCAACACGCCGACGGTTACATTTTCACAGAATTTTTCGCATTGTCGATTTAAATTCTGAAGTGGCTGAACACATTTCCGCTGACGCTTTGCAATTACTGAAACCGCTGCATCCAAGATGCCATTGCAAAACAACCGACCTACAGCGGAGTGAGAGACCTGACAACACGGGCATACAGCTGCTTGCTTGTCCAGCCACCCGGTGAAATTTTTTTTGCTTTCCTTGTACAGCTGTAAAACAAATTGTTACTCTTATTCTTTTCAATAAATTTTGCTCTCCAAAAACAAAATGGCAGCGTTACGGATACTGTGCATGGTCATTTTCGCGGTTACCGGCGCCGTAGAAGGTGGGTTTTAAGCCAAGCGCGTTTTATAAGTCATGCGCGCAAGCGTGGTTCAAAACCTTTTCGTTAGAAATTATTTTATTAAAAGTTCTTAGTTAGCTTTTGCTTGTAACTGCAACAAACGGTTGCAGTTTGCACTGATGGAAGCCAAACGATAAACTCTTGTGTTTTAACTGAAGATAATGAAAATACACTATAACGTTAACTATTGTTCTGGTATTCAGTTTCCAGAGAGGAATCTGCCATCCAGTCAAGCTGCACCCTAACCGAACACGCTTTTAGTATTCAGGACGTTGTCGCCATCAGAGCGGAGAATCGAAAGCGGAGCGATGACATATTTGCCGAACAGATTATACGCCCATGGCTCCTGGCTTTTAATGGGCTTGCGCACTCTGTCGCCGTCACTGTCAACGATGACGTTGAACACCAACCATCGGTTTCAACGGACGACTGGACTATTCGAATTCTTACGTTTAGCGTCAGTGGTAAGGCGAGCGTGCCGTTGAACATGACCGCTATGCAGAACGAAGTCCACAGCACCATCAGTAAAGCCGGATTCGAGGACGTATTAGCCGTATTAAAGCCGCTGTAATGTTGTTCAAGCGGTTTACCATTTCGTGATAACTTATTGTGACCGACTTACCATGAATGCAGCCAAGCTGCGTTCATGGTTCATTTTAATCGGAAGTTGATCGAACTGAATATAATCCTGGTTTTACTTTGAGTCTTCTTTTAAATGTATGGGGCGAACGGACAAGCTGGCCTGCTCAGCTATCTGGTAACATGTTGATCCGGTACTTCTCGAATCTGGTGAGTAACGCAGCTTTCATGATCTTACACCGTTTGCTGCCAACACGATCGTCTGCTCCCCTAAAGGCGATGTATAAGCAATTTCAGTTAGATGTTGTAGTGGCCTTGTTGTTGTCTGGTGAGTGGTGACAGATGGTAACAAATGGGTCCGGAGGTTTTAGGAAGAGACCACTTATCTGCAGTATAAACTCAGGAAAATATACGCGCGCCTGGCGTGTTACAACTCACACTGTTTTGACTACAGGTGATTCGCGCATGTGATCGCTCGAAACTCATACAGATAGCTCCCAAAACACAATCATGATGAGTTTCATTCAGAGCACCCTGTATAATTGTATTCCTGTAGAAATCATCTGTTTCAAGCGTACCTGATTTTACTTTTTACAAAAACCTGTAGACACACGTTTCGAATGGAGAAATTAAGGACTTTGGCACTTGAAGCAGTTGCAAGTGATACTCCGACAGTGCAAACAGCAAAGTAGCACTTCGTGTACGGAGTAAAAGTCTGTTGAACTCTACTCAATATAATAGCAACGATTTTTAACACTCGAACTTATTTTTTATTTAAAAAAAACAGCGGCGAATAACAAAAATTCGGGATTTCGCAGGCCCTGTGCCTTATCGAATAACTGCAGGACTGCAGTTCACGCTAGTACCGACTCTAGTACCGTTATTTTTCAAACTGGCGCAGTCTATAATGTTCAATAATGGACGGTGAATAATGTTCAATATTTTGCAAAATGCAAAATATCTAAATTTTGTTAACACCCAGTTGTAAGCCAGTTTACAAAGCAACGATTTTGCGGGACTCAACAGTTCTATGGAAAAGGAAAAACGAGTATGCCGGTACATAACACAAAATCGGTAAAGCACCCCCACAAAAATCGCTTCGAAATGAGAATATCGGCAACTATTTCACTCCCTTGTATGTACTATAAAACTCCCTTGCACCCCGTTTGACCAGAGGCAGCCCTTGTGAATTATGTAACGTTCTTCTGCCTTGATTATGAGGGCGTATGTAATTTACTGGCCACTGCTATTAATTGTTGCGTCGCCTAACCATCTTGTGCGTGCCACATTCGCCGGTGGTTATTTAAACTTTACAATGGCATAGCTCGTTCAACATGCAGTAACTGAAGGGCAGCTTTTGTAGTACGTAATGTTGCATACTACATGTGAATCTGTACTAGTGTGCAATGATAGCTGTGAAATCTGATGTGTTAGTCCGATCAAACAATCCCCCCCCCTTGCGGAAAAGTGCCCAGAGACCGCCAAACGCACCCCGTAGAGGCGCATGGTAAATTGTAATCAATGAACAGTATCGTTTGGTGACACGGTCATCTGATGAGCATCTGCTCAGCAAATGGCATATACGGCATTGGCATATATATGGCATTGGCATATATATGGCAGCATATATATTGGCATATATATGGCAGTATATATAAATGGCATATATATGGCATTGGAAGGCTTCTATGTGATAAGCTGATTTCAAAAGTTTTATTGTTGTTTGTGCTTGGTGTAGCGCGTGAGTCATCATGACTTCCGCTGCGCTATAATGCCGATAAAAACCGTGCATGCTGAAATTAAAAAGCTTATTTTATTGTACAGGTGTATCGCCAGCCGAGCCGGTGTTATAGAGCGCAGTCTCATACATATTACCAAACAACGCCTTTTCGTTTCACTGTTAGTACTGATTGTCAGTAATTCTGAGCCAGTAATGCCGGCAGATACTAAATGAAAATGAAAATGTCAGTCTCAGAACTGCAGTCGATTGAAAATACACTTTGTACTGTTCTGTTTGAAGTGACATAATCGGGCTTGTTGTTTGCCGGAAATTGCGCTGCACAAAGCGCACTTACGATCGATGTTGTTAACGCTTAAAGTGTGAGTGCGCTGCGCGGTTGGCGCATGCAGATAAACTGGGGTAGTAGTATAGATTACAAGGAAGCGGTGAAATTTTCAGATGAAATTTACATTTCTGAATCTGCTACTAACTTTTTTGTGGCTTGGCATTTCGGTAATGGATTGTTTCATCAGGAAACCTACTGGCCAGTGCAACCAACAAATGATAGACTTCGAAACAGTTCGACTGGGCAGTGGGAGCAGTACATGGCAATTAATCATCCGATGAGTTTGTCTGGAGAAGCACTGCATATTATAACATTTCTGTTCAAAAATGCTATTGTATAAAAATGGCAGACAATCGGCATTCAGCTGGAATTCTGTGGACGTGGAAGTGAATGGGCAGTTGCAGCACGGCCACGTCATCGGTCTAACGGAAAGCAATGACAACACACAGCGACTGATCGTGGATTTTGGTTGCCTGACACAGCGCGCGGTTATGGTGAACTACGGAAAGGTGTTTGATTGCTCTACACAACAGAACAAGAATATATACGGTCCCCGTTCTTACCCACGCTGCAGCGATAAACTGCTCCAGTGTCGTACTTCCACTGCAGCCAAAAGACCGACTTGCAGGTGCTGCTGCGCTCTAGTCGCGATCAACCTTGGATTTGGAATCCCGGAAAACTCCTCATGTGCAACTTTGACGACTTGGCAAATTATGTTCTGGTGAATGTGACGGTAGAAGGGCGCATCTCCCGCAAACTTCTGCCCAAGCAGCAGTTGAGACGGCCGTTATCAGGCAAGCGGCTCCGGCAGCGGCTGTTGCGGCGGGGGCATTTTGTTACACGAACGTGCAGCGTGCCTGCGGAATGCTGGCCGACAATGGAGCCTGCAGCGAGGCTTAGGTTCCGCCAAAGGCTGGAGCTGGATAAGCGTTTGCATGTGGTCAACATCATTGGCCCAAGAATTTACTATGTGCAACAAACTAGTGTGGATTGGCTGACGGAGGAAGATACAGTAAGTTCAGGCACCGCCGCCATACATACAGGCGCACTCCAGTTGTCCAGTAGACGCTTACGCCACTGGCATGATGTAGGGTTTTGAAAAAAGTAGGTGATGTATTCTATCGCATTTTGCGCCAAGCGTTTCTGTGTTGTAACCCAGTGCTGCTGGTTTATGCGCTCTGGATGTACTTCTGTGGATTATAACGTGCAATTTGTAAACCACGGATCAGGTAGTGTAAATGCCCAGTTCTGCATAAAAGTAAAAACTTCAAACAGAACACTGCTGCTCAGTGGCACACTCCGCCATAGTGTGGACTGAAAATGTAATATTTGTCCCCGTACTGAATTGTACGCGACATGCAGCAAACGTATTAACAGGCATTCAAAGATTGCGTTACAACAGGTCAGATTGATGGCCCAGACTATGAGCAGCCTCACACGACAACACCAGTTGATAAATAAAGAGCCCTTAGCAGTGGAAAACGAAGCAGCAAGAGGATCAAAGCGCAAGTTGCAGCTTGACATCGAAGAAGAACCGCTCTACTTGCCACCGGAGCTTCTTTTGGAGATTTTGCGTTCACTAAACACCCTAAGCCAGCAGCGCTGCCGACGAACCTGCTCTTTGTTCGACGAGATACTAACTCTTCCGGAAATGCGCAAAGAAGTGTGTATATCGCTAGACGATTCGGATGCCATCCTGGAGTGGAACTACGCAGCGTACAATTGTATCTTTAAGTTGATCACGCCGGTCACGCGGGCGATATGCATTCGGGACAGACGGATGGGAGAGCACAGTTACGTCAGCAGCGAAATCCAGACGTACGCCGGGAAGGCCGCGCGGTATATCAAAATGGTCCTGGACGACGCCGGAATCCATATTGACCGGCTGATTATTTTCCGAAGCTCAATAACCGTGAAAATGTATGACACGAAATTCTCTAACTACCTCGACAGCATCCGGGATGTGTATTCCGATGTTGTGTCTTGTTGTGAACGATTGGTTTGGAAAGGCGCTATCTGGAGACACTTCAGTTACCACCGCCCTCCTGTAGTGCAATTCCGCATTCCCTGTGCATCGTGCAGTCTACAAAGCTTCGACGTGGCGACGCTTTGGGATCTCTTCGAGCAGCATGTGTGCTCTGACAAAGCCCTGGAAGTGGAACAAATTGCGCAGCTGACGCGGAATTTGATTGCCGGAAAGTCGGACGCAGACTGTAGGAAACTAATCCAAGTAAGCACAAATTATAATTGCACGGTGAAGGCGCGCATTTCATGCACGAAACTGGGAAGTACATTATTTGTACATACACCGGCCATCTTGCATAACTTAGAGAAACCCGTCACCACTCACCAGGATGGTGAATTGTACTCGAAATTTTGAAGTATTAATACTAATAATGATTTCATCTACCTTCCTATCATGTATCCGTTTCTTAAAAACTAATTTACAGCTTTTGCAGAATCTCTGTGAATATCAGATCAAGGATCCGCGTATTCCGGGACGTGACTGGATTCCGGCATGGACAACGGACGATGAGGGCAGCTTGAGCGTGGAGCATCTGGCTAGTTTAGACGTGAAGAAACTGAACAAAATCTGCCTGTCGGCTTGGTGGACACTGTACATAGAGACTGATTTTTGGGGTCGGAGTCCGTTGACACTGCTAGCCTGTGGGTTACATTGAATAATTTAAATTCTTGGCTCGGGAATGGTTACAGAACTAACAGATAAAAAAGGTGCTAACAAAAAAAATGCGGAAGGCATCCAATCCAGACCTTAAAATAGTGGAAAAAAATTTATTACTGCACACTGCCGCTTCGCCAGGGGGAGGGCGAGGCGTCTTGGGGGGCGGCCCTGTGTTAATACGTAAGTAGAAGCACACTGGCAATCAATTCACGTAAGAGCTACCGTTACACAGATTAAATACGTTTTAATATGTGCTTTTTTTATTTGACCATGCCCTGTTCACCCTGACCAATGAAAGCAGTTTCAAGCTTACTATGAGGTCTACTTTTAAAGTGTATTATGTGTTGAAATAATGTACTGCGTTATTTATCGTTTAACCGGTATCACAATAAAGTGACTGGTCTGTTTTTGTTCTACTTAACCCAAAAACTGAAATTTTACTGGCACAAGAGCCGCAGGCAAATTTTATAACGAATGAAATATAACAGTAATACGAGAACAACAAGAACAACAACAGTATAACTGGAAACGCTGCAATATAACAACAAAAAATTCTAATTGTCTACAACGTGGATAATAACGTGAAATGTACGCACATATTTATACGTTCAGGGATATAGTATTATTTTCATGATTTTTTGGTGCTTTTGCAAGATGCCTTTGACGAAATAACCGTATCGTGACATGTCCTTATGCTAAAACGGTAATGCGACAAGCGGTGAAAATTGGCATCCTGTTATAGAAAACAGCCGAAGTTGTGCTACGGTCTTCGGGTTAACCAATTGGTGCCCATTCTTGGAGAGAATGTTTGAGTTGGGACAATGATTTACAGGTGGCTCAGCTTGACATATAAAGCACAAAGGTGAACCTTAAGCCTCAGAAAACTTAAATGGCGTAAGCATCCTAAGAAATAAACAATGAAACACACGAAATACATGAAACACGGGAGACACATGAAACACCAGAAACGCGTGAAACACATTAAACACATGAGGCGATCATGAAACAGACGAAATACATGAAACACAGGAGACACATGAAACACATGAAACGCATGAAACACATATGCAAGAAGGCGACGCCCATGAAACATTAAACAAGAAACGCAAAGCCTGGAGAGGGAGCGTTAAAAAACCTAACGAGTAACAAGAATAGAAACCTGAAACAACGAAACACTGAAACATGCATAGTGAGACATTTAGGCGATGAAACACGAAACAAGAAACAGGAAGCACGAAGTCATAACCTAACAAACCAAACAAGAAATGAAACATGAAACAATGAAACACTGAATTACAAAGAATCGAAACCTACAAATAAGTCATGAAACACGAAACGTTTCATGTTTCATCGTTTCCCGAATCTTACTTCATTTTTAGTGTTTCATGTTTTAATGTTTCACTAATCCATATTTACTATTGCTCAGTGTTTCCTGTTTCGTGTTTCATGACCCATACTTATGTTAGATGTTTATTGGGTTTATGCTGCCCAACTCGGTTTTTGCAATCAGAAAAAAGCGTTGTCCCAACTTGCATATTCTATGGAGAGCATTCTTGGTGAAGAGTGGTTAATCATCGTTTGAATTTAGTTGTACTCGGCGTAGTAATTCTGAATTTGGTTTGTCCAAAAATAGTAACACCGATTGCTCGCTAGTGGACCCACTTAAGCGTTTGCGTTACCATGAGGCATGACTACCGACGTCCTTTTCTGCGCAGAGACGGGGCTGCGCTGGTTCTGCAATTTGATTTCAGTTTGGCCAAGAAAATCTCTTTGGCCGCTGGAGCGCAGACGACAAAGACGGTATCGTTCAAGACACAGTTAAGACTGCCAAACAATCGGCTGATGTCCGCTAGTAGCCGCCAATGCGGGAAGAAATGCCCGGTATCAATGGCAAATCCCCAGATAATAATGTTGATGGTCGAGGATATGCAGAACACGGCGTTCTTGCCACTGCTCAGTGAGTGCGGGTTGCGGCTGCCTTGAAGCCCTACAACACAAGAGATAACTGTCAGGTTCAGGTTTAACACAGTGAGTGACCTTTGCGACCGGTAAAAAGTCTCCCGTCCCCCGGATATTTTTTGCCGTATCCCCTTCACCACCAAAACGGTAACCCTTTGGTTAGAACGATCTGCACAGAAAAGCCATTTTCCGGATCAATCGGTGACCTTTCAAGAACTAAGCCCCAGATAACGCGTTGCAAAGGCACAGGCAACCCAAAAAAATTCAAAATCTGATTTAATATTCTACGCCTTCTGAACGATCAAACATTGCCGTGCGATGGGGGTCTTGGGGAATCTGCTAACCAGAAGTGCGACCAAGGTGCGTGGACGCCAGTGCTCAAGGATCCGCGGGTCGCTCTAGCGACACTGGCATCCCCTTGATATCAGTGGAAACAAAATAACGGTGAAGTCAAGCGATTCCAGGTGTGCGGCTCTCTAAAAACACTTTGAATTTTAACAGTTTTTATTGTTCTTAGCCCACGTGTTTTATTTTAAAGGCAGATGTAATGGGAGGTAATTACCCCAGCATAGGCAGAAAAGATTAGAGATTTTGTGATCAAGGCAATGGGTTTGACTGCTTTTGCAGCGCTTGCTATATAAGCCAGTAAAATAGAGGTAATTAACATTATTAGGTAGGTAAGTGGCCCGCCTACCGTTTCTTTAACCTTTAGCCGCAGATGCAACTAAAGGTCGAAAAACAGACAACCGAGAAATCCGAGGTACCGGCGGTGCAGCTTGTAAATGATCGAGGAAAGCACTTGGAAATCTACTCTTTAACACTAGTAAACACATTCTGGAAATGATGTTACCCTTGCCGGGAATCGATGGACATGTTTCGGACCTTTACACTCCGACAACTATTATAATGTTTCGGGAATAACGTCTTCTTTCAAATTTTTAAGAAAATGTTTTGGTGATAACCAACGCTGTGATAACCCTGGCGGCAGTTTCCCAAGGGTTACGGATAACCTGGAGTTCAACTTTCCCATGCAAACTCATTTTTACTTTTTACTGTGGACCCACGTATAAACTAGAAAAATGCACGTTGGCGTGCATCGGCAGACCGGAGCGAAGCCAAAAACCTTAGTTTATTGGTAGTGATCTGGTGTGTATACAAAAATGTTGTTATGAGCAGCCCATTATCAGTTACCTTTTTACTGAAGTAGGTTAAACTAATAGTTGGAGGCGGTTTCCTCCTTGATACGCAGTAAAGTTGTCTTTTTAGACGTAATATTTGCTAGCAGAGAAAATGGAAAAGTTGGCTCTAATGCTAGCCCAGCCCATGATTTAACTGTGGATAGGCCGACATACGTTTATCTTAAATGATAAACTTTTATCTTAAATGTAAATTGTCGTTTTTGGTTTTATAATATTTGTATAGCAACGACGATGCGCGCAGGCGGACCCCATTAATAATGAAAATCTTGTATCAGGCCAAAGTATTCTGGTTAGTTTTGGCTGGTTTTAAAAAAAATTGTGCATCCTATACATCTGTACACTTCGTTTAATTTCGTTTCCTTTCATGGTATTGACTAACCTAAAAACCGCGGAAATTGAAAGTAACCTGATACTTGAAATAAGCGGGTCCACATGTGTAACCTGAGATCTTTGACGCTGGAAGCCGTCTTCCGACTCGGATAACAATACAAACGATTCCGGAACAAATTTCTTAACCAATACTACGGAAGCCCCATTACTGCACCATGCCAGCAGGAATATCTTTTGCCCTAATTGTATGAACGCAAGCAGTTTCTTACCCGGAGGACACGCATTAACGCTCTATCTTTTAATACGTCGCACAACGAGCACATACGGCACCGACCCAAATATAATGATCATACTGGCAATGGAGATATTCCGAATGATAGAGAAAAACAGGGAATACACATGCACAGGCATTACACACGCTTTCCCTTGTTCACCTAAACGTTCGGTGATGGTCACAATAAAATGAGGCAGACGAGTTGCGCACACCACAATACACATGAGGATACATGCCAGAATTGCCACGCGTTTTGTGTGGTGTTTACGGTAAGAGAGGGGAAAGGTCACAGCCCAGATGCGGCTCAGTGCCAGTTGCACGTGCCCGGAAGCGCCGAGTGAATCAACGACCCACAGGTACAGAATCCGCACGGCGCACTAGCCAACGCTAGTTTCCACTGGGTGCCCCGTGATATGCATGTTGAAAATTGTGGCGCATTTTAACGAGAACGCCGCTATATGACACAGCAGCATGTTGATCAGGTAAATGTTGAAAGAAGTGCGCAATCGCCCACTGAACAGAAACAGGCTAACGACGGCAACGAGAATGAAAGATTTTGATTTTGCATGAATGAGTTAGCGCTTATGGCAGTGCATTCACTCAGAACATAATTACGCCAAGATTAAATTGTCACCGGTGCCTTTTGCGGGCGGTTTGCTTTCCCTCTTGCGTGAAATTACTCTGCACTTGATAAATGACCACAAGGCGACAACCTAGATGTTGTTACAACGTGCCGGAGATATGGAATCAAAAGAAATAAATAATAGTTTATTTAACTTGTGCACTACTGTAATACCCAGATTCGGCTGCAGCCACGAGAATAATAGGTGCAATTCAAAAACGCAATTACACCTACTGAGCTATGACACCGTTTGAGCCACCTATAATTCAAACATTTGTGTTTACAGATCAGAAATCGTTAATTACCCACCAGGAATAGGCGCAGTTTTGTCTACAGTGTAAACACTGGAAAGGAAGTGTCTGCTGCAGTGAGCTACAACCGCGCATCGAGCTACAAATGCACATTCATTTAACATCCGCTCTACACCGTTTAAATGGCTCTGTCATGCAACACATAACAGTTTAATTAGGCCTTACTTAAGCGCGCGTCATAATGTTGCTATCCGGGGCGAACAAAATTAGAAACGATTGTATTGCAGTTGAACGGTTCTCGGAAAAAGCAATTAATCAAGTAACACGGAGAGAACAGCATGCAACGATGGACGCATATATACTCTGTACATATCAGTGGCACCATGGAGTGTTGTCCAGTGTTATGAACACTGTTTCAAATTTTACTGTACGACTAGCTGACGGTC